GGGGGGGGGGGGGGGGGGCGAAGAAAAAAATGTTCTGCCCGGGCGCCCATAACTCTGGTTACGCCACTGGTTCCAGGTAACTAAAGTTTGCAGCTTAACCTCAAATTACATAGAATGCCTGATGTCTGATGTCTATGTAATATAGCTAATAAAAGTAATTCACCGGCACACACTTTAAGGGTTTTTTAAGTATTGATGTCACTGTCGCTCTGATGAAGGATCCCTGTGCGGACCCGAAACATTAGCACCGTATGACAGTGACATTGGGTATTGAATAAACATATCAATACTTTAGAAACCCTTCAAGTGTGTGCCGGTGAATTACTTTTATTTACTATTAGTGTTTTGCACGGCGTCATCCGTGTGGTCACCTGGGCACCACATATACCTTGTGGGTTCGAGACCGTGGCAGTGCAAATGGGCTTTGGACTTTGTTATGTAATATAGCGGTCTGCCTTCCTGCAGCTACTAGTTGTAGTGCCTGTGACAATTGGTGGGCGCAAAAGGGGCATTGTGGAATCTTGCGCTGGGGACGGAGGGCCCTTGGTATGGTGGGCATTGGGCATCTGCCCCTTTTGCTCTGGTGGGCATTGGGCATCTGCCCCTTTTGCTCTGGTTATCAGGATGGCCTTGAGTTGAGTTGAAAGCTGAACATGTGCTATTATTTGAGTTGAAAATGCCGACATAAAAATATCATTGCTTGAAGAAGAAAAATAGTATACTTTTTTTTTAGAAATGTGACCATATAGTAAAAAGATATGAATATTTCAAGCATACAAATTTCAGACAGAGTCATGACATAGCTGTGAAACAGCATCCATACATGACTCAAAGAGCAGCTGGCAAGTACAGGCCCAGCAGGAGGGAGAAAAAAAAAAAAAAAATCGACCAGAGAATGCACTCTAAGGATTCAATGTCTAAGGTAAGAAAAATGTTCCTGGCTGAAGTGCCAGTCGCTGAGTCCAACATGGAGGGTGTGGCACAGCCACATACAGATATTCCTTTAGAAATAGGCACTTTTCATTTTATTCCACATATACAACAACAGATAGGCATTTTATTATATGACATGTATTTAGTCCTTTGAAAACAAGGCAATTGCACTAAGCAAGTGAAATAGTCAACACTTCCTCACTCACAACTTTCAAAAACATCAAAACAATAAATACACCGAAAAAAGCATCAACAGACAGCTACAACGAAATAATGTCCTGAAGCAGTGCAAAAAAATATTTTTAAAAAAACACAGAAAACAGACCGCACATTTTTGTGTTATGGAACATTTATACAACCTGGAATGTCTATATAAAATGACAAATAGGGAAATGTGGAGAAACACAGGGAGGAATAGGATTTTAAATATTATTTAAACTATTATTTTAAAACAATATCTGTAGAAAAACCATCTACCAATAATTATGCAGTAAAAGGGCCTACCCAATCCTTTAAAAAAAGTAGACCCTCATACCATACTGCCTGGCAAATATTGCTGCTTTAAATAGGCCATTTCCCAACCTTCAGGCCGAGGGCCACATGAGGGCCTATGGATAAAAACCAAATTGCGATATCTTTAAAAACAAAAATTGTACTCATCATTGTGAATTAACATCAAAACAAATTTAAGGACTACGATGTTTGTCAAAGTTACTTCTGACTTTTTTTTGGCTTAACAACAAACCTTAAAGTGTATGACCAGGAAAAAAAAAAAAAACCTGCACATACAGTAAAATATCTGTTGGTCTGCCGGAAATGCACGGAGCCGTGCTGAAAGCTGATAACATAGCCTTTTGTGGAGTGGTGTCAGCCCTACCCATTGTCTTTTGCTAAGCTACTTAAACCACTCCTACTTTCACATCTCTACATGAAGGCTAATTATTCTGTAATCCAAGATAAGAACTAAAGGGCTAAAAATACTCTTTGAGATAACACAGTGAGTGAGCAGGGGATGTAGGATAACTCTAAAGGTGGGTACATGGTGCATATTTCGGCCAATTCGGCAGCAATTTGTTCCATGGGTGGCCCTGTTCTATCATTAGATTGACTTTTGTTGACAAGACATGCTGGTAAATCATCGGCTGCCAGAATACAATGTACACAGCAGGAGATTCATTCACCCACGCTATTAGTGTGGATGGAGGAATCTGTCATATTTTTGACAGCCTGTGAGACGGAAAGAAAAAAATATGACCGTGTGTACCCAGGTTAAATGTCAGACGTTTTTTTTTCTGCACTTATCAAACAGATATAACAAAATACTTCCAATAGAATATTTAAGAGTCCAAAAGAGAGCAAATAACAGCAGTTCATTGTTACGGTTTACATACAGTTTAAAAAAGGTATCCATAGCTAAAACAGCACTTATATGGGACAAAAAAACCCCATGTATATTACACACACACACTGCATTACCACTCCTGTGGTTGTTAAAGCACATTGTACATTCATCAAACTGTGGAAGAATGACACACACGTTCAAGAAATTCCTGTTTCAACACATTGAAACATCTATGTACTTAAGGTATCCTTGACTACATGTCGTAGCTTGTGCAAGGTTTGCACGAGCAGCATTCAGTTAAGGATAAAGGATCACATTGAAACAATTGATAGATAACTGCTTAAATACAGGCGCTTTAGTGCACTGCCCAGTAAATGTGCTCTCTAGCAAATTTACAATTGCCTATGTACAGGTAGCTGCCATTGTCCTAATACCTAGAATAAGTCAAATCAAACATTGTACCTGGGGACCCTAATTATATGTGTGATCAAATAGGGGAATCTATGTAAAGAACGTACAGTGTTAGATGACACAAAGCTTGTCCTGTAAATTATACCATCTGGTGCACTGAAATAAATTGAAAACAATTTACAACAGGGGTGGATTAGGCAACATAACATTCAGAAATAGGTAAGAAGTCCTTGGTTACTCTCATTTTTAATGAGGCAAGATAATTGGTACTACAATGCCTGGTATGGCCGAGCCCTATAGGAAACCTCTGTTGAAAGCAGTATGAAGGTTGCCTTTAGCAATCTCCCTCTGAAAATGCTAGTTGCCCGACAGTCATGGCGATCCTCTGATTTCAACCCATTCACTGATGTGGAAGAAGTACGCAGCAAATGCCATTTGTTCCAGGTTAGGGATTTGAAATGTACAGAGCCCATTAGAACTGCTGGTCTGCCTGGCAACTAGCATTTTTAAAAGGAGAGGACACCAACTACAGTCTCAGTACAGGTAAGAGCGTTGACTGAAAAGGCAGACAATGTGAAAGCCCCGCAAAGGCTTATTGGCTACCTGACTTTTGGCTATTGTTCAGCCCAGGCTAAAAATATGTCTCTCACCAGTTCTAAGATTCATACCTGTCTAATAGAAGAAAAAAAAAAACGTAAGCATCAAATAAATCATGCCTACAGTGCTCAGCAGACCAAAGCTGGATACTCTTCCACAATCTTCCCAACCAGCCACTTGAGGAAAGGCTGCCGTCCAGAAGGTAACTGTGATGTATCCTCGTGGAAAACAGAAGACGGCGCCTTTTCCTCGTGTGATAAAGTTTATTTTTTGCAAAATTATAAAGAATAAAAAACTACTCACATATACACAGTGGAGACAAGTGGCGTAGTAAAGCATACATCCAGGGCAGAGCAAAAAAAGTGAATGCGTTTCCAGGGAGATCCCCCCCTTCCTCAAGCCTGAGGAAGCAGGATCTCCCCTGAAACATGTCAGCTCTACTACTCACATATACACAGTGGAGACAAGCGGTGTAATTAACCATGCATCCAGGGAAGAGCAAAAAGAGCTGATATGCATGATTAACTATAGCGCTTGTCTCCACTGTGTATAAGTGAGTAATTTTTTAATTGTTTACAATTTTGCAAAAATTAAAACGTTATCACACGAGGAGAAGGCGCTGTCTTTTGTTTGTTTTGCAGAAGGAAAAAAACCTCAACTTAACATATTACAAATTGTTGCCAACATCTTTCTGGACATGCAAATTTAGAAATAATGGAAGAAGCATTAGAAAAAAAAAAGTAAATCCATTTAAAAAAAACCGTTGGGGTTGGATTTGCACATCGTTTCCCCTCATCCAATTATGTCTCATTTAAAAATAAATGTACATTATATAAAAGTTTTAAGTAGAATTTTGATAAATGTCACTCATTAGGTACCAGTAGTGCAATTCAGACAGTCAAATGCTACTGAGAAGACGGACGCATGCATAAGCAGTTTTAACTATATTGCCTTTTCAGACGAGCTTGAATTAAAGCATTTCATCCATGCAAGAATCACATTTTTTCACAGAAACCTTGTGCTAAAACAATTTCTCTTTGTGGATTTGAAGAAAACCTTACAGCTCAGTACGGAGTGGTCAGCTCCAAACTAGACATTTATGCCTCATGAGAAAGGTTTTTTGTCAAAATAAATATTTTCTCCTGATAATCATTCAATAACAGTTCCATTTTGATTCATCTACGTAGAAATGGTTCCATTTTCTGATTCCTCAATGTAAGGTATGCTGGTGTCATCATTTTCGACTGGGTCTCTCATAAGTGGATCAGAGATAGTATATATTTCATTTTCTTTCATTGAATGTGCAAGAGGTTCCAGCACTGTATCCTCTCTAGTGCTTCCATTAGGAAATTTCATAGGAGGGACAGGTGGAGGATCATCCATGGGACCGTCAAATGACCTGTATACATCTACATCTGGGCCGGAGTCCCTCTTTTCTTGTAGAAGGTGGCCATACACCATTGTATCATCAATAACTGCATACACGTGCGACTCATTAGTCTTCCTACCCTTCTTAAAGAAGGCTTGTCGCCTTGGTGCCTCGGTGGCCACCTTGGTGTTGTATATACCCAATGGAGCTTGCTTCGGCTTTTTCCTGCAAACAAACAATTAAACAAAATGTTTGACAATGGTTTACTAAATGGGTAGAGCATTTCCACATTGCAAAGTGCATTTTTAAATATCTTAGTGAGTTTTCAATTTGCAAAGAATATTCCAATTGTGTACAAGGGGAAAAAAAAGAAAACTAAAAAAAACTAAAAACCTGGATTTTGTTAGTGGGTTTTTCATTTTGGAAAAAATATTCCAATTGTGTACAAGGGAAAAAAAATGAAGTGGACTCAGATAGCATGGGTAAGGTAAAAGTTGGCTTTAGCCCTTTTTCATATGTCAGCAGTCGCAGGCCCCTATAAGCAGACTCCCAGCAGTGTATAGCTGTGTAAAGCCATCTGTCGGCTTTACACTGGAAGCGATGCGTTCAGATGTAAAGCTGCCTGAACACTTCTAGGAGCCAGTAAACTTGTGCCCCCCCTCGCTTTACTTCCCTGGCTCTTCTGCCCCTCCTGTGAGACCGGCGTTGTAGGTATCGGTGGGTAAAGGGGAGAGAGACCAGTGAATGTCCGCAATTTCTAGATTGGCATGCTGGGTATCTATTTACTCAACACAACCCTCTCTTATATTGTCCAAAAAGTGGGTATTATATTGTGTTTTTTGCAAGAAAGCAAACTTGGGTGTATTTTTTTTACTGAAATGTTGGCTTTGACAGAAGAATGAAGCCAATATCATGCAACATAATGATTCACAGCTATAAGTTTGGGCTGGTATTCTATATGGAATATGAATATCAGAGAAATAAGACAGAAACGAACAGTGACTGAACGAACAAATTAATAAATAGATGAACAAATGAAAGAATTCAGTGATCACATAGATAATGATTCAACTTATCTGGTATAACAGGAAATTCATAATACAACAGTGGTAATTAAATGTAAATATTATTTCATCAGCAGTAAGATAAAGTGATAGATAGCAAATAACATATTAACACACTGATATACAATGAGGCAATACTTACTTCCTTTTGACACAGCACACAGTTATTATCACTGCAAGAACAACAACGACTGCTGAACCACCTGCAATTAGTAGGTACTTAATACCTGTGAAAATAAAGAGGAGATACTATAGACAAATGCATTACATCATATACAGTAGGAAAGTGGATTCTCCAATGGCTGTACATTGTGCAAAACTATTTTTTGTGATATGTGCGGGACAGGTGATGCAAGCCCAGGGGTGGGGACATTTTTCTGAAAAACTACTTGTCCAAGGACTAAAGCGGGGGCCAAATCTACTTGTCCCTCATGACAAAAAAATAGTTTTAATCAAAACTAGGGATGCACCAATACCGTTTTTAGGGTATTGAGTACAAATATCGATATTTTGCTCACCGATACAGAGTACCGGTTCTTGACACAGAGCAGGCTTGCCGGGCAGCGGGTAATGTAAGCATAAGTGTCCCCTGCACACCATACAGCACCTAGGGCAGTGGGTAATGACATGCCACCTGACTTCCTGATTGCCAGGGAAGCCGACTCCGTGTTGTTTGGCTTGCTTGATTGTGATTGGCCTGGAAACCGGCTTCCCAGCCAATCAGCATTGAGCCAGCTTCCTGGCCAATCAGGAAGCCAGGCGGCGAGTAATGACCTGATTGGCCAGGAAGCCGGATCGATACTAATTGGGTGGGAAGCCGGCTTTCCGGCCAATCAGCATCGAGACGGCTTTCTGGCCAATCAGGAAACCAGGAGGCGGGTCATTACTCGCTGCCCTACTTCCTGATTGCACGGGAAGCTGGCTCCAGGTTTCCCACAGGGAATCAAAACTACTACTAATCAAAACTGTATTTGACTGTGCTAAATAGCGCTTCTCATTGGTCAGTGTGGTCACCTGACCACGCTGACCAATGATGCTTGCAATTTGCGAGCAAAATTAAAAATGCATAGGACAGGACTGCACTATGGGGTACAGGTAGTACACCTGTACTAGCAGAGGGTAAGGATTGTTTGCCGAAAGGTAAGTATAGCCAGGTGGTGGGGGGTTTGGGAGAGACGGGGGCCAGATTTGATCAGGTGATTCCATTTTCCCGTATTACCTGAGAAAGTGAACTTACCCTTTAATGCCCATTGTGCATTAAACTACTCGCCTAGCACCCGAAACTGCATGTCCTGGGCGTCGGGCAATAGGAACTCCACACCCCTGAAGGCTCTCTAAATTTTAAACAGATCAGGCCATATCTATATGTTAGACAAATTACCCGAATAGATAATCATGGAAAGTGAGGAGTAACGTGGACCTATCTAACCATGAATCCACAGAAATAAATTACAGACAAGTCAAAATATACTGCAACAGTGTCATTTTCCAAAAAACACAAATGTACTTGCATCATTAAAAGGCAGTCCATAACCTTTAAACTAATGACTACCTAGGCTTGAAAGATGCATCAGTCTGCTGCAGGCAGTAAGCAGCATTCCATCAATCTCACTTCCATGCGTTATCACTCACTCAGAATGTACACAAGATAGGATGCAGCACAGGGAGCACAGCTGTGAAAGACAACAGTGAAAAGCTGGCCATACAAGCTTAGAAGTTCTCTCATTCAGTTCAGGCAGTGCCCCATGCTTTCCCCACCTACACTAAATTGCATTGATGGAGGAATCCCCACTACTGGCTATTGTGTTCAAGATATTAAATACCTGTATAGCCCATGTATCTGACTGGATGCAGGCACTTGTAAGATTAGGCGAAATCCATTGCATGGCCAGCTTAAGCTAAAAACAAGAGATTAATGTGCAGGCACCAGGATTTACATGACTCCATCATCCCCGGGCTGACATCTTTGTCCAGGAAGTAAATAACACTGGATGATGCCTGAACAAAGATGGCACCAGCCTACAGCAGAAAAAGGGAGATGAAGGCAATGTTGGGGAAGGGGGGGGGGGTAATTAAAAAGGTATTAATTACCTGCAATTGACCCACATTAGTTAGCATGCATACAGGTAACAAAAAATAAATAAATACATTTGAGACCATGTCAAGTTTCTTGATATTTTTTACTATACTATTTATGGGCCGAGTAGAATGAAAATGCTATATTACTAGAGAAAAGACATACCATTTTATTGATTACTAACCATAAGCTATTGTGCTGCTGCAGAAAGGTTTATGCAGCGGTCATCCAAGAAACCTACAAGAGGTCAGGTAACGACTTGGAACAACACACAATGAATTTTGCTACACTTAAACGTTTACCCTCTTAATTCCACTTTTCTGAAGAACATCATACCTGTTTTTTGTTTTGGACACCCTTATATTAATGAAGCAGCTGGTAGGGGTGAACTGTGGTGGACGAACAAAAAAACAAGGCAAATGAGTATAAACTGTGGCTCTCACTATCCCTTAGAACATCTTACCTGAGGAAAGCTGACTGAAGGTAACGGACAGCTGAAGTTTAAGTTTCTTTGTCTTAGCCCGGGGTTCGCAATTGGAGACGTTTACCCAAAATGAAGAATACATATCGAGTGGACCTGGTAGCTGCCCGCCATCTCTCTGTACTACGCCAGGTCCATTGTCTTTCTCTTCCTTTATACTGACAAATGCACGGCCATTTTCACAACTTACATCCAATTTTTCAGTTGCAAACTTCAGTCGTCCGAACTGTTTGCTCGGTACATTTATATTCCACGAAAGAGAAACATGATCTGGAAGCCCAAAGTCCCAGTTTGGAGTCCGAACATAAATAGTTTCTTCTGGTTTTGGAGATACCATGATTATACACTCTTCTGTGAAGAAAATACAGCTAAAATGAATTTTTATATGTATTAAGTAATTACAGGAACAATTTCTGATATACAGTAATGGCTTTCAAGTACTGACACAGCTCTCGCTCTATCAATATCTATATATTAAAAACACATACATGCACACTCACATAGTTGCATAGTAGGTGAGGTTGAATAAAGACACAGGTCCAACCTAAATGGGGGGTGGGTCCTATCCCGCTATGTTTTGTGAACTGAGGAAACCATGCAAGTGTTTTTTAAGCAGTTCATGTTTCCGGCTGATGCAACTATCTATTAGAATTGAATTCCACATTTTTACCACTCTCAAAAGTAAAATACCGCTTTCACAGTTTAGGATTATACCTCATCCCCTCCAACTTCATGTTATGCCCTTGCGCCTTTTTTTGAGGTAATTGGTTTAAGTAGTGCACTCCCAATACTGCAGTCCCTATTGATGAGTTTGTGACCAGAGTTGAACTTTGTACTCAAGGTGGGGCCTTACCAGTGTTTTGTAAAGGGGCAATATTAGATTTATATCCCGTGAATAAATCACTCTTCTAATGAAAGATAATATACTTCCAGTGCTTCAAAATTTCTGAGTGGGGGTCAGAAAGGAAAGAGGCGTAGGGAACAATCATGTTTTCTTCTAAGCCAAGACTTGTAATATACCTAACAGCATAATTGTTATACATACACATGTCTTAGGCCTGATTCACACCTAGACAACATAGATTTTGAGCATTTCTACTAGCATTAGCAACATGCAGTTATTTGCACGTTTATGCGCGTTGTGCACATTTATAATGAACGTTTTAACGCACGTACATGAAGACATGCATTTTGAATGGCAGCTCATGAACCGTTGTGGGCAATGGAAGAACGAGCAAAAAAGCTCACAAAAAATGTGCAACAGGCATGTCTTGGGGCATTTCCAATTAAGTCTATAGGCCAAAAAAGCACTTTTAACTGACCCCAAGAAGCTCATGTACCTTTTCGGGCATTTTTCTGCTGGTGTTTTTCTGCTCAGGTGTGAACCAGGGCCATTGAAAATCATGGGATTTCTTGTGCTGGGCATTTAAAAGCGCTTTTCGAACTGCTCAAAAACTGCTAGGTATGAACTAGGCCTTAAAGTATAAACATAAATAAAATCATATACTTAATAGGTAACAGTACAGTTTCAGTGCACTATAAAAGGCAAAAGAAATACATTGTAGGAAGTACTAACATCTATGGAATATGCTGAGACTTTCAGGTAGGTTTGGATAAATTTTTTTACAAATAAACATACATGGCAAAGGATTCTTAAAACACTCTGAGCTAGCTAACGAGAGAAGAAAAGAAGCTTGCTTTGCAGCTCCCATTGTCTGATGGACACCTCCTAATATGTCATGTGATAAGAGATGAGTCACTGCTGTGATGTCCCGCTCAAGCCTTCATTAAACAGATGAAAGCTGAAAAAACTGAATAAAAAGAGCATTCTCTTCTGGCTGAATAGAAAACTGCGTAATATTGATAAACAACTTTACAGTTTAAAAAAAAAAAGTGAAGACATAGATCTGTAAAAGACTATATACATTTCTTATGTATTCAGTAAATCCTTCCAGCGGTCACACAAACCATTTGTTCTGACCGGTTTTGACAAGAGTCACATACATCTTTATTAATAAGGGGGCTTGACAGTGTACTAATGCAATGAGATTGACTGGAGGAAAAAACTTACAGAAAGTTGAAGCAGCCAATCAGTACCGAATGACAAGGCTCAGGAATAAGTATGTTGGTACAGGGCTCCTGCAGCTACTCTAAAAGTGCCCCCTATATTAAAGCACTCACCTAACACTTACCCCTCTTACCTAAACCCCTAACATCTGTCCTATTCCAAAAAAACGTACCAATGTACATTTTACCCCCAAAACCTGTTCCTTGAAGGGAAGTTCAATGACGAATAAAAAAATAAAAAAAAAGACCTAAAGCTTTAGACCATCTCCTGCAGAATCTTAGTCCTTGTCTACTCAAGGGCTGCTCATTAGAGATTTAGGGATTCTTATCAGCACATGCAAAAAAACAAAACAAACCACCTCCATGTGAAGGATCATTTACTGAATAAAAAATGGGGGGGGGGGGGGGAGGGGGGCGTGCCCCTGAAATGCGTTAACCATCGAGACACAGAAGTTAGGTGGGACTGATGGCAGTAGCGTCTTATTAAAAGGGAATCCCCTCTTAAAGGTTCCATTGTGACTGCAGTCTATGCACCATACTGGGCTCTGTTCAACGTACACTTGAGTACATTTCTAACCATTTGTTTTTATTCTTCAATAAATGATCCTTCACATGGAGGTGGTGCTCTGCGTTTGTTTTTTTGCATGTTCCTTGAAGTGACCCCGTCTCAAAACCAAATTCCCACAAAACAATATACCAGCAAAAGGACAGAGAATATACTCTCCTATCCCACTTGCTGCATTGCTGAATGCAGCTCTGTTGCTGAGGAATCGTCCCCTGAAGTCTACTGGAGTGTCTGTCTATCTCCTGTGACTCCTGGTTGTTCTTACTTGTTTGCTCCTGCTGACCTCCACGTCACTACAGAAAACAGTATTGACAAGGAGGTCTGCGGGAGGAGAAGACAAAAGGAGATTGGTACTTTTGAAAGTGTCAGTTTCCTAACCGAATTTGGCGGGAATTTCCTCGGTAATATATCGGCATTGGGCAACAGGATAGGCATTAATACTGAATATATGCCATGTTCTTTTGCAGGGATTTCTTTTTGTGGGGATTTGCTAGGAACGGGTTGCTTAAACAACTAAAGCGTTATCTATACCCATAGTTTTTGATAGAGAAGGGAAAAGCTGGAGCCTCTGTTAAATTTTAACGACTGCCTATGTCCCCTGTGGGGAGCGTCACCCTGTCTATTTGTCTTGATGACCATTTCCTCAGGGAGAAAGCGGTGGCAAAAGCACTAGTAGCATGTCAAGCTCTGCTGCAAAGCATAAGTTCTAGCAGTTTTTGTATTCATACTAACATTGCACATTGTTACACTTATTCTTATTTTGGTATAGTTGTTTATACCTGTAATGAAGGGCACAAAGGACACACGTTGGTCATGTTTCCGCAGTTCTCGCATATCTGTCTGTTGTGGCATACGTAAAATGATGGTGACATTGTCCTTCATTTGAATCTCTTCAATGGACCCATTTGGACAAAAGGTGCCAATTTTAAACTCAACTTTGTTGTTGGAGCTCATGATTTCATAAGTAAAACCTGAAGCAGTCAGGTTGCAGGGTTTATCTTCAGTATCTTGTTGTAGGAATATAGATTTAGAGGTTATTTTAGTACTGATGGATTCGGGTGCTATCAACCTCCAGGTAAAACTGTCCAGGCGGACAGGGAAATTCATGAATGATTCCGGAATGGTAAGGGGCATGTTGCTGATATTGCAGATTCTGAGATCCCAACATGCTAAGAACACAAACCAAATAGACAGACAATATGTTAAAATCAAGAACTGGCTAGCACAATGTTTAGTATTTGGCACAAAAAAAAACAGAATATCCTAGGTTGCATACCAAGATCAATGAGCATTCAGGCAGCAACAAGCAAAGCAGAGATTCCGTCTTCTAGGTCTACTATTTGTCGTGCATCACATACAACATAGAGAGTCTTCTAGTGACTCTACTTGTGACGAACACAAGCATACTTGAGCAATGTATAGGATATTTATGTGCTTCGTAGTAGTCCCATCAATATATTTTACAAATTAAGTTCACCAGTAAAGTTGGTGTAGTCTATTTAGACTTGGCAGCAGAGGAACCCACACAAGGCCCATCTGCATTCAGACCTATAGCCTGTCTGGATAATAAAATGCTATACTATTACAGTCAAATATCAACTGCAATCAATCTGGATACTACAGTGATCTATCACTAAATCACAAAGCAGCATACCTGGCAATATGCTGCACTACTAATTGATAAATGTAAAGCACTGAGACTCTAAGACATTAGTTACAGGATTGTATGTTGCCTCTACTGTAATATGTGCGGGAGAGGAGAGTGATGCAAGCTCCTCCCAGGCTCTCCTCCCGCAACGCCCCACTCAGCCTCCTGTGACAGATCAGGTGTGGGGGCGGAGACAGCTGTCACAGGAGACCAGGCAAGCGGTGAGGGGGAGGAGTTAGCAGTCAGAGGAGATCGAGCTCTCCTTCCTGCACTGCTCGCTCAGTTTCCTGTGACAGCGAGTCAGAATGGAGAGCAGGGACAAGCAGTCAGCGATCAGTGACGCCAAGGGTTTGCAAATAATTGAGGACATAGTAGGTTTACCATGTCCCCAATTATGAATGAATGGGACGTGATCTACATCACTTCCTGTTCATTCATGGATTGTGGACACTGAACATACTGAGGGGAATTTATCAAAACTGGAGCAGACAAAATCTGGAGCAGCTGTGCATGGCAACCAATCAGCTTCTCTCTTCAGTTTGTTCAGATAAGATTTGAAAATGAAAGAGATGCTGATTGGTTGTCATGCACTGCTGCTCTAGTTTTGATAAATTCCCCTCACTATCTCCACAAGTTATGAATGGACAGGAAAACTCAGTATAGATGATTCCTGTTCATTTATAACAGAGGCTGCAGAAAAAGAGATTGAGGACTCTGCCCTCAATCTCTTTGAAAAGGGAAATATCAGGGGTCTGTTTAGACCCCTGATATTTCCCCAAAGCCCCTAAACAGTAAAGTAAAAAAAATTTAAAAAAAGTTAAAAAAGTTTATAAAAAATAATTTGAAAAAAAAAAAAAAAGGTTACATTTTTTTTTTGCTTTGGCCTGATTTTTATTTTCGGCTTGAAATATTTAATTTTAGTGCACCTGTAGTTTTAACCATTGCTTTACACTATCCAAAAATAAAAACAAACATTGTGGTCCGTCATAGATCTTCAACCCATTTCTCTGAATATTCACTGTATAAAATTTAGTAAATAGTGCAAAAATCTAATTTATATTGACCTTTACATTAACTCCTGCCCTGCCATTTACACAGGATTCAAAATTCCTCACCTAATATGAGCACTGATCAGAAAATTAAATAATGATCCCAACAGCTAAAAGATTGGCAAACTATCAACACCTACATATTTCCTTTACAGCCTCTACAATCAAGATCTTCATATCTTGACAGAAAAAGGAGATTTTGTAGTATTTTCCTCCTTCAAGCTCCAGCTCTGGTGCACAGTCTGCGTGTGCTTTACAGATCTCACAGGCTGGAACAAACTGACGTCCAACAGATTTCCTCCTTCCAATACGCACACGCAGATCTTTTTCCTTGGTCAAATCTAGAACATACAGTTCATCTGTAGAAAGAAGAAAACAATGTCACCATATAGCAAAAAGTCAACACCCCTGTATATAGCACTGTACATGTCACACAGCATTTTAAAGCAATGCACTGTCTGTACAGTGCAAGCCTGGACTCAACTATGCGCACCACTGAAATTAATGCGGAAGGTGATTGTAGCTGTATTAGAGCACCGGCAACAAAACAACCTTGTACTGTACGTGATACTTTTCAGTATCACGGACAGTACTTAAATGATATTAATGAAACCACAAGTCAATAAGCATTTAGAGCCGGTTCACACCACATCCATCTGTGTTCTGGCACAGTTAGTGGCCAGAACGCGCTGGATCACATAATTAAAGCACCACGGGAGGTGGCATGGTGGTGCTATTCAAGTCAATGACACTGCAGTCTTGCCACACCAGAACGTGTGGAACAGCAATGCCCGCATTCAGTGGCGTAACCAGAGTTCTGGGCGCCCGGGGCAGAATTTTTTTTCGCCCCCCCCTTATATAAACAACCACTGGAACAGTACCCTGCACCTCCCCCCCACACACACGTTTTTATTTTAATTTTTCAAATTTTAATATTTTATTTTTTTAGAAACGTTTTCATTTTTTTAAAATTAATTTTTATTTATTAATTAATTTATTAAATATTTTTATTTTTTACTTTACTTTTAGGGGCAATATTGGGGGTCTAAACAGACCCCTGATATTTCCCTTTAAAAATAGAAAAAGAGATTGAGGACACAGAGTCCTCAATCTCTTTTTCTGTGTCCCCTGTTATCAATGAACAGGAATCCTTTATGAGTGTTCCTGTTCATTGATAACATGGTATGTTTACTATAACTACAATTATGAATGAACAGGAGGGGATATAGATCACTCCCATTCATTCATAATTGAGGATATAGTATACATACCAGGTCCTCAATTATGTACAAACACTCAGCGATCACTGATCACTGAGTGCTTGTACCCGTTCTCCTTTCTGACACACACTGTCATAGGAGGCTGCAAGAGGAGAGCCCAGCCTCCTGTGACAGCGCTGTCTGTCTCCGCCCCCACACCGCTCTGCTGCACTGTGATAGGAGGAAAGACACCGGCCGCTCACAGCGCTCGTCCCGCAGCGCTCGGCCGGCTGTCATTTTCTCTCTGATTCCTTTCATCCCTGCTGGGCACTGCTCTGTGTCCCAGCGGGGATGAAAGGAATCACGGCCGCGCCGACAAAACGGCAGGAAAATGTCACTTTCGGCATTTAGCCGAAAGTGCCATTTTCGGCCGGCGCCCCCCCTTCACTTTTCGCCCGGGGCCCGCGCCCCTGCTTCCCCCCCCGGTTGTTACGCCACTGCCCGCAGTCCAGTTGCAAAAACATTGTGCATGCATAATTACATCTAAAAATGGCCAATAATGCATATCAACAAAAGCACTTTTATGTCAAACAGAATAGTTGGCAATATACAGATGGGTTTTGAGAGAGCACTTTCACATCCATTCACAACTAGACCGAGCGCAACTTATTTGCCACATAATAGACTCACTTATACACAAAGTTGCTGCTGGTCTATTTAGTTATTTAGATTTCGAGTCACTCATTCCCAGCGCAGTGATTTTTGATTATTAATATACAGTTTCTGCTATTAGACAGAACTTTTATTTTGAAACTTTACATCAAGGCTACATCAAGGCTACATCAAGGCTACATCAAGGCTACATCAAGGCTACATCAAGGCTACATCAAGGCTACATCAAGGCTACATCAAGGCTACATCAAGGCTACATCAAGGCTACATCAAGGCTACATCAAGGCTACATCAAGGCTACATCAAGGCTACATCAAGGCTACATCAAGGCTACATCAAGGCTACATCAAGGCTACATCAAGGCTACATCAAGGCTACATCAAGGCTACATCAAGGCTACATCAAGGCTACATCAAGGCTACATCAAGGCTACATCAAGGCTACATCAAGGCTACATCAAGGCTACATCAAGGCTACATCAAGGCTACATCAAGGCTACATCAAGGCTACATCAAGGCTACATCAAGGCTACATCAAGGCTACATCAAGGCTACATCAAGGCTACATGTTCACTTTAAAGCAACCTGCCTACAACCTGTTTGGTTACGATTTGAACTGGGCAGAAATAGCCACATATTGAGTCCATTGATAATACACCCTTCTTATCTGTTCGTCAACTCTCCGTATACTTCTAGAAAGCATCCACATAAAAACGGGTGACACCAAAATACCACTGTAAATAAGAATGATCGTACTGCATAGGAACAACTTGAATTCCTATGGACAATAGCGGAAAGTTATAACTGAGGTCATATAAAAGGGTAAGGGCATAATAAAAAGCTGTAAAAACATCAAAAAGTATATATCAAAAAATATTGGAGTTAATCTCCGATTGTTAATGGGATTATATAGCATTTTTGTATTTGGGAGTATATAGCATTTTTGCATTTAAATAAAAATAAAAATGGTTGGAGTTCGAAGTAGATGTAAAATCGAAGTGAATGATTTTTGAGAAGCTAAACCATGTTTAAAACCTTTTTTCACTCACTGAACCCTCAAATATGCAAAACCTCAGGACACCCGTCTCAAATGTAAGGGGGGACCCCACACACACATAAAAAAATGGGGTTCCATCATTTCAATTGAACTCCTTCCTTCAAATCAGGAGCCCCCCTTTACATCAGAGCGCCCCCAAACATCAGAATTCTACCTTTGACATCAGTAGTTCCCCTTCATATTAGAAGCTCCCTCCTTTTACATCAGAGTACCCCTTCTTTCACATCAGAAGCCCCCCCCCCCCCCTTACT